AAATCCGGCAAAGTTTGAGCTTTTACTATTAAAAATAACACGCGAAAAATATTTTATTTTTGTTTAATTTTATTGCGTTCTAACAAAGCAGCATTTTGTAAATAACAATAAATATTCTTGTAGGAAATTAAACGATCTTCAAACAACAGGTTTGATATGATTTTCATTTAATCGACTCGTTTGAAAGTTATTAACGGTATAGCAGATTTAGTTAATAAAAAAATATTATCTAAATAGCTATATTGTGCTTTGTGTACGGCAGCTTCTCATCAATAGAGCAGTCATAGGTTCGTTTGTATTTTACTGTAGGAAATCAAATTACACTAAAACTAAAAGTATTGGACGCCATGCAAGATACAAAAAATACGTAGTCTTAGTCGTAGTAAAAATCGTAGTTAAAAAATGACTATATTGAATCAGGATGATTCCTAATTGATGTAATTAATATTGTAAAATTTTTGTTAGGTTATGGTAGATAAAAATTTAATAATTATAGAAAAACATAATCTGATTAAAGCAAATAAAAATTACAGAAGGTAAAAGAAGAGGGTATTGAAAAATTATTGGACCATGGCCTCTAATATCTTAGAATACATAAAATCAAGTGTAAATAAGACATTTAACCAAATAAAATATTATTGGCTTAAGATTTTTTAAGAAATTATTGTTTTTTAAGTCCTTACCAGGTGAAAAAAAAATTCGAATGCTACTTAAAATTAAACATGATATTTTTCTTATGATTATTTGTATTTCTTAAAAAAATCACTGTTTTACCAAAAAGCACTTCGTGAACTTTACGAAAAATAGAATATTTTATGATTTTGGCCATTATTTCGTGATAAAAATTGTTGAGCTGAGGTTTAACTTTAACCGTCGATAACTCTCAAACGAGTCAATTAAATGAAAAATCATGTCAGACCTTTTTTGAAGACCGTTCAATTCCCTAGAAGAACATATATTGATTTTTACAATACGCTGATTTGTTAGAACGCAATAAAATTAAAAAAAATTCTCCGTGATATTTAAATGCGAAAAAGAAAATCACGCTCAAACCTTACCAGAACTTTTTTTCATCATTGTGAACGATATATTCATGGTAATTAAAAAAAATAATAATTATTTTGTTTGGTGTACCCTAATATGTAATTATGAATCTAAGTCAAATAGACAAATACTTATTATAATGATTTTCTTTTTTTTAATACATGCATCACAACTTTACGTACTTTCAGTACAAGTAAAATTAAACTTTTTATCATTAAATGCTACCTAATAAGACACATCATTTAATTAAGATTATAGGGTAATACATCAATATACCATCTAAACTCTATCATATTATATCTTACAATAAAAAAAATCGTGGCACTATCTTGAACAAAGAACAAACATTTAGCGCTTCGAGCATAATTTTAAAGATTTTTTCCGTATTAAATTAGCCTAAAAAGCAATCGAAAGACTAAGAGCAATAACAGGATTAGTAGAATTCCGAATAAGCAACTGGCATAAGTGGTGCTATTTTTAAGTACAGAGGAACATAGGTTACGGCAAGTTTTCATGGAAATCTACTAAAAAAATTGCACTCTCTAAACAGACAAGCCCTAAACATTTGCTCTATATACAAGATCAGCACTGCATGAAAAAACAAATGACACGAAATAACGTAGGTGCTACATTTGTGCTTTGGAGATCGAAATCAGGAAGACAAAGAAGTTAGTAGTAGCCGTCGCGAGGAGGCTAAAACTCAAAACTTTTTACATCGAATTTTAGACATTAAAAAGAAAATACATAATATGTATATAGGAACATATATGAGCCAAAATGTGTTCTGCCTGGGAACTGTATATACGGACAACGAAACTAAGACACAGAGTTTTTGGAAAAATAAAAATAATACAAAATAGTGTTTTAGAATATAGCCCAACCCAAAAAGACAACCAGTACAAAGTGTTTTATCAATATTGACTCTTTACTTTGAACAAACCATGCAAAAAACACATGTAATCCCCATGCATTTTGGAACCTGGACAACAAAATTGACTATACAGTCAATAGTAAGGAAAGGTATTTAAAAAAATCATAATTTTTGAATATATGTACTCGCTCTTGAGCTAGTTACTTAAACTTAATTAAACTTTTACTTTTAATAATTTTATTTTAGCTTTAGTGTTATATCGAATGGTTGTTTTGTACTCTAATTTTAAAACACCCTGTGCAATCATTTCGTCAGCAAATTTTCCTCATAACGCAATATGATATACGCAGCCTCACTGGCAGTCACTTGGACGTCTCAAGCAGCCAAGAGAGGCAATACAAAGTATTAAGTTTTTTCCGTTTGTATGTTTGTTTATTACAGATGTTTTCTTTAATATCTTTAGTTCTGTTATCGTTATTAATATTTATTGAGACCAGGACTGTATTGTTACTTTTTATCATTTTTTAATTTAGCATAGTGTATCCAATACAGCGTAATATGACGTTAAGACAATAGTAACCAAAACTACCTCATCATATTGAAAAATAACATAAAAAAATGATAATTGAAAAATTTGCAAATTGTTGGTGGCAAGTTCTGACCGAAAAATAATGTTTTAGGAAAATTTGCTCAAAATTATTGCACCCTTCGATTAACCCTGTATAATAAGCTAAATACAAAAATTTACGAATTAAAGTTGATATATTTATATACAGTTTGATAAAAAAATTCATGAAAATATGGCTAAAAATAAAAAAAAAATATATATTACTTGAAATTTGACGAAACATTTTTCCGTTTTGTTTTTTTTTGCATCTGAATTTTAATATGTTTTAATGCTGAAGATATTTAATAATAACTGTATGAAATAGATTAATTTGACTGTATGGCCAATACCTAATCAACACGAGGTAGATCTTTTTGGGCTAGTTAACAACATACTACAAAAACTTCAAAAGGAAAAAATAATGGCATTTTCTAACAGATACGCTTATAAGGTTCTACCATGCAATTTGTTTAGGCTCTCAAATAGTAACTTAATTTTTTCTCAACGTTTGATCGTGTATATTTCGCCATGCAAGTAAATAATGATTCTGTTCTCTCGATCAACGTCTATTACAGTTAGAAAAAGAGAGTAAAATACAATCGGCCTATGGGAATGTATATCCACCAAAAATTGCATTTTTGTAGGAGGAATTAGTAGGGGAGATGTGTGTTGAGGAGGTCTGAGATGGGGGAGAGGCGTTAATAGCGGTGCAAGTAGCGGTTGTGAGGGTATCACAGTATTATCACATAGCTTATTTAACACCAGCCGATTATCTCGCATGTTTTAAAAAGTTTACTCTCAGCTACGAGTATAAGATATCCACGGACATTGCTGGACAGGAATAGCATCAATTTTATCACTCTAAAGTAGGCTGAAGATGACCTGCTGGTATTAAAAAAGCTGTGGTATGAGGCACTCGCTTACCGAGACGACACGGTCCATAGTTTAGTTTAATCGAACGTTTGAAACCACGAATTTGACTAGAACTGTTCTAGGTTCCATTATATAAAAACAACACGATAACTCTTACGAAATAACGAACATATTAATAATACCATTAAAAAACGAACAAACAAAAACTATTAAAAAGAAACAACTCGCGTAATTTTGAATTACCGAAACAAAAAATTATTTTTTTTTGGCTAAATTTTGACATCACTACTTCATATTACACTACGAAAAAAACGACAATATAATATAGTTAAAATATATACAGGGTATCTTGATTAGGCTTCTTTCTCTTAAGAGGAAAAAATTAAGTAGAGTGATCACTATATTTTTTATATACATTTTGGTTACTTTTAAAGCTTTCAATAGTACGGGTTGTTAGACTAAATTTAGATAAATATAAAAAACTTATTCTAGTATGCTTCAATATATTTATTGCACAAGTAATTTTAAAAATATGTGTTTAAAAATATTTAACTTCAAAAATTAACCATAGTACACTAAAAAGGGAGTGGACTATGCATATAAAGAAAGTATTTTGTAGATAATCTGTGTAATTTTTCTTGATAGAAGATGATTCTTCATCATGAGATTTAAACAACTTCTATTTCATAATAGCTACCAGTTCTAAATAGATATACAATTAAATTGATATACCGGTTTGTGCATCGTCTTGGGACACAGAAAATCCCATAAAAATTTTGACCTGTTCAAATATTGGCTCCCTGTTGATTTTATAGCGTCATAAATAGTTTTTTAACGATCTGCGTGTGCTGAATACACTTGCCAAATTTAAACAGGAAAATTTTAAGTAATTTAAGAAAAACTGCATTTATTTTTAAATAAAAACTGAATAGGTGACAATGCAAAATCAGGCAAATGTCAATATACTTTAAGTTATCGATCTATGATTTTCTCATTGTCAAATGTAATTTGTTGTACTGTGTACAACTACTACGTCTATATAAAACACGTTTGACGCTAAACAACACAAAACAAACAAGAAATACAATTCAACATTTTAAATAAAAATTTTAAAAACATTTTGACTCTAAAAATTATTTTTTTCTTTGGTCATTTTACAAAACATTGTCAAAATTAGTGATTTTTTTTAATCCTATGAGCCAAGCGGACAAAGTAATCAAAATGTACACATATACCGTTATTCATTTGACGTTCACAACGTCACTTGTCAACGAAATGACACCTACAAGACACCCCGCACCCTATTAAAAACAACACGAATCAAACACGAACTTAGGAAACGACATCATATATTATATAAAACAACGAACTATTTCCGTTTTTAAGAAGTTTTAAGTTTCTTGTAAGGCTGCACGTTATTATTGTTCTGCGCGGCAGCCGCTACTATACTCGCGGCGCTGGGCGTTACTGTAGTCACCGGCGCAGCCGAAACCGTAACCGGATACTGCGCGCCCAACAAGCTCCCGTTAAAAATCGGCGAAGCCGTCACCGTCGTGGCCCCAGCGTTAGTATAAGCCGTAGCGGGACGCATTATCGAATAGGGATTCAGTTGAAAGCTGTGTGAGGCGCCGCGCGCCCGATACCGAGCAAATTCTGTTGTTGCTGAGCGATCGCAGCCGAATACGAATTGGCTAGGGTTAAAGTTAAACCCGGCCCCCCGGCGGCGCTAGTGAAACCGAGAGGCAAAGCAGTAGGAGGGTAGCGCAAAGCGGTCTGCGGAATGCCCAAAGCCTGTTTGTTCAAAGCCACTCCTGTGTAATTTAGAGGATTCAGAGGTGCCATTTGCGACTGATGAGCCAGCGACTGGTTCATCGCGGCCAGTTTAACAGCTTTAGCGTAGTTTTGCTGTGCGACTTCCTTAGCTAACGCGGCGGGGTCAGTATACATGGGTTGTGCGCCCGGTAAGCTAGTCATACTGGCGGGGGGAGCTATGGAAGCAGCTGCAACGGCAGCAGCAGCCGCGGCCTGAGATGACAGCTGCGATTCGTTTTCTTTCGAAGCAGGTCGAGGAGGAGGCGGTTGTGCGTGTTGTTGCTGTTGCTGCTGCTGCAGCTGGTGCGCCATGACGGCGGCGGCAGCTGCGGCTGCGGCGGCCGGGTGCGCGGACGCAGCCGCTTCGGGGATGGACGGCGAAGCTGCGGAAGAGGGGGGAGGAGCGGGCGAAGTGGGATACTCACATGACACGGGCACGAATGGCTGCTGCAGCTGCATCAGCTGCTGGTAGGTGGTGGCGTTCGGCTGGTATACGGGCACGCCGGACTTGTCCGCTGCCGGTCTCTTGTACGGGACCATGCCCGCTGGGAAGGCCTGAAAAACAATACAATGTCTTGGATATCCTTAAATTACAATAAAAATAAACGTAGTATGATATAGAGATAAAAATGTTTCAACTATAACATATCAGCGATACTAAATAAACATTTAGTTACATTATGGAGGGAGCGATTGCCACATTATTTATTTATTTGCAAACATTTTGATTCGTTTTGACACTTTAGTTTTGTATTACGAGTATTTGGTTGAAGTGAATTGTGTTGTGATACTTTAACCTTTAACATTTTTTACTAACGGACCTTATAGTCAAAAATTGTTCTTTTTAGAACCGCATTTAGTGCAAAGTGTACAAGATGCCGAAGTAGCTTAACAGCCGTTGCAGAAAACTCATCTCATCTTTATTGGAATATTTTAAACGGAAAAGTGGTAGTAATGGCCCTTTATGTCCCTTAAGTGCTGGTAAGGAGGTAAGTTTTTTGTTTCCTAAAATATTTGATTAAAAGAGGATATTTAAAAGTCAGCAACTTTGTGCCTGTCAAGCTTAATCGCGTGGCTAAAAGTTTATTTGCTATGTTCTATATATAAATATCTTATTCATTTTCTTAAATATTTAAGTGATTGCAAAATAAAACACTAAATCACCACAATACACCAAAATCTGTTAGTTTTAATCATCTGCTGATGATGCTAACATGGCTAGCGAAACGCGTGTCGAGTGTAAAAGTGTTTTTGGTGTATTGTGGTGATTTAGTATTTTATTTTGCTGTTGTAAAATCAAAGGTTCCAACCCCCAACTGTAATATTTAATTGATTTTTATTTAATAATTTAAATTGTTTTTAGAAGGTGAGAATATCTTAAAAACCTTGTTAAAACTTTAATTAATTTTTATTTAATAATTTAAATTGTTTTATACAAGGTGAATCTTAAATAAGTGCGAATATTTTTAGTGTGGTGGGATATTTAATAATTATTTGGGATAAACATAATATAAAAAGAAATTTAAAATAACTCAATACTACCAAAAATAACTAAAATAATACTTACAAAATTGTCATAATAAAACGATCCAACAGATTTCATGTCCATCTGGAAGAGAAATAAAAAGAAACGATTAGTCCCCGAAAATAAAGCATTTTTCCAGACCAAAATGCATTCAGTCGTTTAAAGTAAGCCAAAAAACAACGAATACATTGAAATATCCATTAAAGTTAAAAAATAAAAAAAAACTTAATCTAATATTAGACTACGTCATAAATGCTATTATTGTAACAACAGTGACTGTACACTGCTATCGTTTAAATAAATAAATAAAACAACAACAAAACAATAAATTAGATTATATAACATATATTTAAAAGTATGGCTTTGTTGCTAGGATGTTGCGAGTTTCAGTGAAATTCATAATGTAGTACACTTCAACGACAACAAAACATTATAACAATACCCCTGAAATTATGATATAAATCTTGAACATCTTCTATTACCTACCTATTTAAAAAAAAACTTTTATCAAACCTTAATCGAACATCAACGTGCATAATTATTTAAGCAGGAAAGCCTTCTTTGTGTGCATTGTTTCGTAGAAATATTATTTAAAAAAAAATTCTGGTTAGGAGTCTCATGGTATTACCAATATAGAGGAAAAAAATATATGTGAAGTGTTTACAATTGGTTTTTTTGCCTACCCATTTTGTGTGGATGGAATGAAGCAATATAGTACAGCCACTCACAACATGCTAACAACGTTTTTAGAGGTAGCAGTTCGGCTTGTCCTACAATAACGCAGCTTTTAAGTGTCTGTGGTTTGGAAATGCTTTTCCAATATCCAATATAAAAGAAATGTTGATATTTCTAACATATTTCTTTGAATTTTACAAATGAATTATCTCGATTTTGCAAAATAAAGCGAAAAAAGCTGATACATACAGAGTCATGTCATCAGTAATTCATTCTATACTTCGAATTAAAAAATATGTTGTTACATTACTTATGTCAAGCCTCTGTAGTAAATAGTATACTTAATCAATAAAGCAAAAAAATACAGTGGGATGTAATATAAAAAAAATGATCCAAAAAACCGGTCATTTGGGTAAAGTAGTATAAAAATATATACAAAAGTTAAGCCATTATATTGTTAAAACACGAATGTTGGTGCATCACTAGCGAAAAGCATGTCATTTCGACATAAGCACTGGTACTCTTTCATATAAAATCAGCATTTGTGTGGTCAGAGAAAAAATATATCAGACTTGGGTAACTAAAGAAAGCAAAAATTTACAAAGCTGTCGATTTGCGTGGATTAAACTGGACTGGATTCCCGTAGATCGCTGAAAATAATGTAGTTAAGACACAAACCACTACCAATTTTAGTGTGCTCTTGTGTTAGGTACTTGGCTACAATATATCCTTACGGTTATTAACATGTAGTACTCCGAGTTATTTTTTATACGTCATGAAGATTAACAAAAAATTGTAAGGAAGTGTAAACCGTACACCTTAAGATTGTGCAGGAAATTTTGAAAATTAAATATGTATATTTGTAAAAGAATGACGAAGTTGGGAAAAAATGTTTTATTAGCAGTAAAAATGATACTTCTCGTGTCGAGGCTGTACGTTTGACATTATAGGCGGGGCACTAAAAGTCATTTTTACTCCTTAGAACATGCTATTTTTTTTCAAACGCCACAAATAATTTTTTAAACAATTTCAAACATTTCAAATAATATAAAAAGTAATAATTAGTAAGTACATACATACAGGGTGGTCCAAACTGTATTCCGGAAACTTCGGAAGCATATTTTGCAGATAAAAATTAGTAAAAAAGTTCGTATAAATGTATATCCTAAAATGCTTAGTTTCTAAGATACAGGGTGTAAAAGTTTCATTTTAATTTCGATTTTTTCCAAACCATTTCTGAAGTAACGTCAATATTTGGATAAAAATTGGTATTTTTTGACAAGAGAAATTTAATTGTGATGTCAGTATGAGTAGTGAGCGCCACCTACATATTTTTAACTGGCTTGACGAGTAATAACTACCTGTATAAAACTATTGAGTAAAAAAAATATACATAAAAAAGATCTCTTGGTAAAAATCGCTTTGAGTAATGGTTCTCGAGATATTTGGAGTCTAAATTATCAATACCTGTCATCACCGACATAAATTAAACATGTTGACTAAATAGTTATTAGACCGAAACCATAAATTTGAAATGTTTTTGTGCCAACAGTTCAGCAGAAACGAAGAGAAATTTATGATTAATTAAAAAAAAGTTTTCAAATTTATCATATCAGTCAAATAACTATCTACTCAACAATCTCAACATATTTATTTTTTGTCAATAATCACATGTACTGACTATTTCCATTCTAAATATCTTGAGAACGGTTGCTTGTAGAGATTTTTACCAAGAGATATTTTATACGTAAAAAATCACGGAAGTGTATATTTTGTTACTCAACAGTTTTATAGAGGTACAAACGAAAAGTTATTAGTTTTCAATCAGTTAAAACACAGGTAGGTGGCGCCCTCTACAAATAGGAGTCATATTGATATCAACATCAACTTTTTCATGTCAAAAACTCCCAGATAACAATTTTCATCCAAATATTTACGTTACTTCAGAAATTATTTGGGTAACTCATTTTTGTACTTTTGTGTTTATGCGGAAAAGTAATTTTCTCTTATGCCTATCTTTTTATATTGTCAATTACGCCGCAAAAACTAATTGTTTTGTGACGTGTGAAAAAAATGAACTTTTTGTGCTGCCTGCAACATCGGTCAAACGTACAGCCCCATCAAAAATGAATCATTTTACTCCTAATAAAACAATATACTATCCTAATGTTAACCTCTAGGTAACCATAAGGATACAGAGCAGCCCCAAAAAAACTGAAAACCAAAACTAAAGAACGAACCAAACAAACGAAAGGAAAAAAAGTCTTTATATAGTCATGCAAAGCAGGCGCAAAGGTACCAGTAATAGATCTGTGTCTGCGGCGGTGCTAGGCTCGCGCGGTCTCTTCTCTTGCCGATCTCGAGGGCGGCGGCTGCGGCTGCGGCCGCTGCTGCTGCGGCTGCTGCGGCCGCGGCGGGCTGCGCCAACAACGGCGAAACTGCGGTGGCGGCGGGCTATTAGTGGGTAGTGGGTAGTAGCGGCCAGCGCAACAAGCACGACACATCCGCGCGCAGCACCGGGAGCGCGTGGAGGGGAACAAATAAAAAACCAGCACTGGATTAGTGTCGGGTGGTGGCGAAGCGTTACGCGCAGCAGAGGGTAAGGCCTGGGGCACAGCTCGAGGCGCATGCAACACTACCCACGCAGGGCAGCACAAGACGGGCTTTTGTATTGTAGGTTGGGCGCAGAGATATGGAGAGAGGAAGAACGAGCTTCGATGGGGGCGCATCCAAAAAAAATCTTAGAGAGGAGATAAATAAGTAATAATATCACCTGAAAACTTCTAATTTGTTTGATTTTATTGGTGGATTTTTATGGTACTAACACTAGAATGCAGAATGTATGGAAGGGGGTTAATTACCGCGACCTTACAGATATATTGTGTCCCTCTTTCTGGAGTTATAACTAATCATACAGTCTCAGGGCTTTGACAAAACCCAATATCTCAGACGGTTTTACAGAGGGTAGTTTTTCATCTCCGATGTAAGTTGTACCAAAGTTTACGGCATGAGTGTCATCTCGCACTCAGTGATAAAGCGTTCTGGTGTTTCCCCATTTCATTTTATTTTATTTCATTTTTAGCTTCAATCTACTGAGGTGTTCGTTGAGGAAACAGTATCCTGTTAAAAATCCCTGATAGTCCGACGATTGTTCTTACTCAAATCAAGGAAAATGTCCGATTTTTCTCGGTCGCAAGTTCTGAGAAATTGCTCCGAGTGTCTTAGACCGTTGAAAGATTCCCATTCCAGGTTACGGATAAAGCATTCCAGGTTCTTAAGTTCCGCTTTATGTTTTGGAAGTAGAACAGCTCTGATCCAGTTATTGGAGTGTTCTACGCACGTTCAAGCTCATTCTCCCTACCTCTATTTCTTTGGTCGAGCATTGAGTATCCGCATATTTAAACGCTGTGACTTGTGCTGTCCTGCCAAAATTGCATGGCATGTGTCTCAATGCGCACCAGGCCTAAATGTTATCTGATGCGTGTACGCGTTTTAAAGGAAATTAAATAATAATTGTGAAATATATTCATCTAGATTTATATAACCTCCAACTCATATCTCTTCATAAGCAATAATCCTATTTTAATTTTTTATTATCATAATATATTGAACCAGTAACAACATACATATTACAGATATATTTGTACTAAAATTACTACTAATATAGTAGTAGTACTTTAATTTGATAGATTTGATTTTTTAAGAATAAAATTTATATAAAATAACTTAAAAGAGTTGTAAAAAGAAACATTCCATTTGATGGCAAAAATTATTTGAAAGTATAAACGATCTAAATCATCATACGTATGATATATAAAGTTAGGGAATATATTTTATAACAGTTTTTAAGAAGTCATTATAAATCAAATAACATTTTTCCAAAGTCTTTAAAATGTTGAACGTTTGTACTGTTGTCAGTTAGAACAAAAAATCAGTTAATAGATAAAAGTTGAGTTTGAGTTGGTGAAAGTTAATAAATCTAAAGAAAGCATTTTTGAAAGAAACCATGTAAAAAAATAAAAGTAAGGGACGCAATCGAGGTTTATACAGCACTGGACTTTCATCAAATTTATTAGCACTCTTCTGTCAACTTCAAGCATAAAATATGTTTGTAGTAAAATACGTTTTTTAGTTCTCGCTCTTGAACATTATTTTTAAGAAAATAGTACTAATTAATACCGTAAGATCGTATATTGTATGGGAGTTGTGTCCCCTTTCTTGAGTTATAACTCATCACACAGATTCAGGGCTGTGACAAAATCGGCGAATGCAGATTCTGTGGTGAAAATGGGGAAACACCAGGACTCCTCATCAGTGAGTGCGCCAAGACAACAATCATTCGTGCCATAAACTTTGGTACGACTAATATCGGAGATGGAGAACTAACCTCTGAAAAACCGTCTCAGATA